CCATCTCACTCCCCAGTCATAGCAGATGCATTGGGGGCTGTGCTGGCAGCCTTGCCTAGAGTAGACCTAATGCATAGGCAGGAAAAAAGCCTAGTTTTCTATGAGCTCAGTTCACACCGTGTTGTGCATACAGAACTTTTTCCACAGTGTGTTGCAATGCAAAATCCCATCGCAACTCTGCTGCGGTGAATAGAACTGAATGAAATGTCACTTGTGACATTATTCTGACTCCGATTGTTGTGATAGCGAAATATATCCCTTGCTGAGACCTCTATGCCTGGCCTGAGCAATGCACATACACCACGACACAAGTGTGAACCCATCCCTACACACAGCTTCCAGACAGCACCGCCAGCCTGGTGACCCGACTTTTTCTACCACAGTTAAAGTGACATTAAAGGATCATTTTTTTCCCCCCTCCCCCATGTTAATGTTAGCACTTACCTTAAATGATGTCTCTTAATCCGATCATCCTTTTCTTTCCCCATGTTTTCATCTGTCCCTCCAGCAGTGCGGCGGCTCTCCGATCCAGCGCCGACTCCTCTCTGCTAGCAGGCACTTCTGACCCAGCGGTGTCTGCATGCGGGTGCAAGCATCCATAGACTTACCTTGCATTCCTGCTAGTCTCCCGGCCGAGAATCCAAAATGCTTTGCGGCCGCACGAACAGTTCCGGACTCTCGCCGCGGGAGCGCGCAATAAGGTCAGTCTAAACCACTGTTTAAGAGGGTTTTTTAAAAATTTTTGCCTATATCTACTGCTTGTCAGCAGTAGATATAGGCAAAAAAAAACGTGAGGCTTTAGAACCCCTTTAAGCAGCACAGCTTGGTCACCCCTCCCTGACCTCAGTCTATGATTGGACAGTGAGGCAGCAGCTACATACTGATGGTCCTCTCTCTTAACCTGTTATTTGCCAGCACATGCAGAACCCCTGATTGGACACCAAGTACTACCCCTCCCTTTCAACAATCCTGCTGAACAGTCAAATTCCTATGCTTCCACCAACTGTATTTAAAAAATACATTTCAAGAAGAACTCCAGGAAAATGTTTTATTAACCCTTCCCCATCTGGCCTACCCCCCACACGGCAAGGGTTAACTGCCCGTTTGTCTCTAGGTTAAAAAAAGAAAATTATACTCCCCTTATACTGCAAGCCGGCTTGTTCTTAGACCGGTCCTTCCAGTGTCTCTTTTCCTCCTGTGCAAAGGTCTAAGGTCCCGTAAATCATAATGTTTATACACTGTGTATAGACGTGAGAACACTGAGGAAAATTCCAATGCTGCAGTGTAGGATGAGACAGGCCAGAAGGAGCAATGATAAC